CCAATGTCTGATTAAATCGTTCGATCATTCCATCAGATTGCGGGTGATAAGAAGTCGTTCTTGTTTTATGAGTACCCATAACTCGGCAAGTTTCCTGGAATATTTGAGACTCAAAATTCCTTCCTTGATCGCTGTGAATATCTAAAGGTATTCCAAAACGACAGAAGACTTCATGAACTAGTTTATCTGCAACTGTTGAAGCTTCTTGATTTGGAATGGCGAAGACTTCTGGCCACTTAGTGAAGTAATCCATCACAACCATGAAATACTTGTTACCGCTTTCACTCTCCGGAAACGGCCCCGCCACGTCAATGGCTATTCTCTCCTAGGGTGTACCAACATTGTACAACTCAATGCACCTCTACTACGAGTCTGAGGTCCCTTTACAGCCGCACAACTTGTACATTTGCGACACCAGTCCTCGACATCGTTTCGACAGTGGACCCAGTAAAACCGTTCTCGGATATTCAGTAGAGTTCGTTTAACTCCCAGATGGCCTCCTGAACAATCATTATGGTACAGCTGTAGAACATCCGGTACGTTAGCTTTAGGGACAACCATTTGCAAATGACAGCTGTCTCCCGAACATATTCCCATTTATTCCCATAACTCCATCCTGAAGCAGCAAGCTGTCCCACTGGGCCCAATAACTTTTAGTGGTCGAACTCATCGCTGAGACGTCGCTCCACTTGGGCTTGGGAGCACTGGTCTTCATCCATTACAGAATCGGTTTGATGTCCGGATCTTCCTGCTGTGCATGTCGTAAGCTGACCTTCCACTCGTTGCTGAGTTGGTCTGTCCTGAGCATCCTCACGGATACCACTTCCTTACTCTCTTGCCTAGTACAATGTTTGCAATCGTCAGGACAGGGTCTTTTTGACAATGCATCTGCGTTGCCATGAGATTTCCAGCTGCGATGTTCGATCTCAAAGTCGTATTCCTGGAGTAGTTTAATCCACCTCGCAACTTGTCCTTCTGTATTTTTAAGCTGCAATAGCCATTTTAGTGCAGCACGGTCAGTTCGTAAGTGAAATTTCCACCCCAGAAGATATTTGCTAAAATGCTGCAACGACTTTACCACAGATAGCAATTTGCGTCTTGTGACACAATAGTTGCTTTCCGGTTTCGACAACGACTTGCTGAAGTACGCTGTCACGACCTCTTGGTTACCACTCCGTTGAGACAACACACCGCCAAGTCCTATATAACTTGCGTCTGTGTCAACTGTAAATTCTTTGCTTGCATCAGGGTATCCCAAAATAGGTGTTTTGCACAGACGGTCCTTGAGCTCCTGGAATGCGATATTGCAAATTTCATCCCAGCAGAAATGTCGTTTCTCCTCGATTAGTGTATGCTGAGGTTTGGCTATATCTGCAAAGTTCTTCACAAATCACGGGTAATAGGAGCACAAACCCAAAAAACTGCGTCTTGTCTTTTGGAACCGGCCGATCCTTGATAGTGGCGATTTTCTCTGGATCCATGCGGATACCTTCCTCCGATACTACATACCCCAAAAAGTTAACTTGCCGATTGAATAGTGAACATTTCTTCGGACTCAACTTGAGGTTGTCACTCTGAATCTTCATGAGCACGCGTTCCAGGTTTCGAAGGTGTTCCTCAAACGTACGGTCTACGATGATGATCTCATCCAAGTAGACCAGATAGGCGTCGCCAATTAGCCCGGTAAATACAAGTTCCATCAGCCTTTCAAACATTGCTGGAGCATTGAACAACCCAAACGGCGTTACTTTAAATTGCCACAGACCCTTTCCCGTCGAGAACGTAGTTTTCTCCTTGTCCTTAGGGTCAATTTCAACTTGCCAGTAGCCACTTCTTAGATCCAGCGTGCTAAACCAATTTACTTCCGTAAGCATGTCCAGCATGTCATCAATTCTTGGCAAGGGATAGTTGTCCTTCTTCGTAACGTCGTTCAGACGGCGGTATTCAACACAAAACCTGCATGTGCATGCTGCCATTCTTCTTCTTTACCACCACCACGGGTGAACACCGTGGTCTAGAGGAAGGTTCAATAACACCATCCTTCACCATTTCTTCAATCATGGTTTCCACTTCCTTTTCACGTGCTACCGGCAATCTACTTGGCCGCTGACGGATAGGCAATTCTTCTCCTGTGTTTATTTTCTGTTGAACTAAGCCATTCTTTCCTATGTCAGCATTGTTTGATTAGAATACATCGGCATATTTGAGTAACAACTTCTTCGCCTTGACCATTTCGTTCGGGGAGAGAACACTGTGACAGTCTTCCAAAAGTGTGGTCACTCTCGTTTGTGCATCCTTGCTGGGGGTCTCGCTTGATAGATATTGGCCATGACGTAACCAATCCACTTCCTCACAAGTACCAACCAGCGTGCCTTTTTTATAATCTGTTCCCGGTCACAGAGGTTCAGCACACGTACTCCTGAGTGGTTCTAACCAAGGTTCGAGCTACTTTCCATGGAAGGTCATTATTTACCCTTTCCACAAGTACACAACGGTGAGCTTGCCCAGCGTTTCGAGGGAGACTAACCGGCACAATCGTTTTCGATCGCGACGGAAGAACAATCTTCTTAATGCTGTACACGCTCCCTGGTAACGCACTTTCCATAAAAATTCCTCCTCCACATTTCAAAACACCTTGCTTAACTTCGATCTCACAACAATTATTCCTCATAAAGTCTAGGCCCAGGATGCAGTCATCCATTATATCAGCCACGATGACATTATGCAGGTAGATCACGTTTCCTAGCTTCAACTCCATCTCCTTCTGTCCACGTACGGGTATACACTGACCGGTGGCTGTTACCAAATAATTAATGCGTTCTCGGTGTTATGCGGAGTCCCCAAGGAACTGACTTATAAGTTGGGAACTAACAACCGTACGAGAGGCTCCAGTGTCTATGGTCAGTTTACACGGCATTCCGTTGACTTCGCCCTTGATGATTAGATTATTCCCATCATGAATTTGTGAGATCGAGATCCTTGGAGCTCTTTTAACATCAGCCATCACCCGCCCCGCAGTTCTGGCTTTTACTCATTTCCCTGCTGCTTCTGGTTGGTGCTGTTGGCCGCACCACCCTCCTGAGATCGTTCACCGTCCCCTTCTAGAGTTCGCTTAGGGAAGCTAGATCGAAGATGGCCCCTTTCCCCACAGCCATAGCACCTAGGATTGTATTCTTTAATGCGGTCACGAACTGTAGCTGCTGCAACCTCCCTGACGCGATGGGAACGATGATCCTGCCGCACGGCGTCAACCTCCAGTGCATGAGCCAAGGCGTCCTTAATTGCCCGAGCCTCACAGCAGCTCTGACTTCCAGGTCTCGCATGCCGTCGATGAATGTCTACACCAGGTTCCCTTCAATGAGCGCAGGTACAAACTGGTATGCTTTTCGCAGCAGCTTCTCCACCTCTAGAGCCCACTGCTGCAGGTTTTCGTTGATGCGTTGCACGCGATCTTTAAGCGCACGAAAGACGTGTTCCAGGTGAGCGTCGCCATATCTCGCCTCCAACGCCTCAAGGAGCTGCTCGTAGGACACTTTTTTACCGAGAGCTTCCAACACAGTTAAGGCTTGGTCGCGCAGGCCTAGTCTAAGGGCAGTCATGGCCTGACTTTTATTCCAGCCGTTCGTCTTCATAACACCTACGAACTGGATTTTGTAGGCCGAACAGAAAGAAGTCCCGTCGAAAGGTGGCACCTTGAACCCACTTATCGAAGGTGTTGTAGCTACTACGGGAGCTGTAATTTCATCCCCCAGTTTGAGGTCGTCCAGCGTTTTCTTCACATCAGCCATCACGTTTTCAACCCGATTGTTCACTTGGTAGATTCGGGTTTCAGCTTTCGCGATTAGGGTTTCAGCTTCCGACAGGCGGTTGTCATGCTGAGCAACCCTATCCTTCACCTCCTTTATTTCCTTCCCGAAGGTAGCGTGATGGTCCTTCATGAGGAGCGTCTGATCTTCCAACCGACAGGCCTGGTCCTCTTGTCCGCCCCGCAGCTGCTATTCCAATCGGCGGGCCTGTCCTCCTGCCGGCGAGCCTGTTCCTCCTGCTGGCGAGCCTGTTCCTCCTGCCGGCGAGCCTGTTCCTCTTGTCCACCCCGCAGCTTCTCTTTCAACTGACGGACCTGTTCCTATTGTCGGCGAACCTGCTCCTGTAGCATCACCATCAGAGCACCTCAGTCAGGTGCTGCAGATATAGGATCTACTGACGGGCTTGAAGCCGACGGCTGACCCTCCTACGTCTGCGGCGTTGCAGAACCAAATCTTCTTTGGTTCGTCTCCTGCTGGCGTTGACTTCGGGTACGGAAACCCTCCGTTTGCGCTCCTTAGGTAAAATCGATATGATTTTATCCCACTTCTGACATCAATTGTTACGAGCTTGAGGTTTGTGACAACAAAAACTGCCCATTGAATTACCAAAATTTACACTTTAGTTCACTTTACACCAATTAAAACTTCAAAGACACTAATAATTAATCACACTGATTCACTTTATTTCGCTCCGAAGCTTTGCTTGTCTCGCCAAATTCAAACTGCCTCGATCGCGTCTTGCAGCGCCTTTAAATACATATTTTTCACCGAAACATCCAGAACATTTACGTAAATTCGGACGCCAATCGACCAGGCGCAGAAAGTTCGAGTGTGCGCCTTCCAGAAAGCTTAATTCTTCTGTTCGATACTAGATGGCGCTGTTGGTCGAAAGTCGAGATTGACATTTTCTAGGAAGCCCTCTTCACTCTGGTCCTCGACACTAGATGGTGCTAGTGCCAGGTACCTGACGTCAAATTAGGTGCGCAACAGTACTTATCGTTGCCGTAATAACTACAGTTTACACTAATATATATTTCGTGTGGACTGCTCTACATCACAGCCCAATAACAAAGAAATAAAGATTTCCTGCTTGTCACGACGAATCATCATTCACCATATTGCATCATTCTACTTAGCATTTACCGGTATGAGGGTACAGGTCACTATATATTAATAAGCTTTTTTATTTCATAGGTTACAAAACGTCTTCGGGGATGACGACAGGGATGTCACTAAACAAGATTTGTCTCGATTAGTGTATTTAGAAGCAGTTTTAAAGGAATCTATGCGCATATATCCAATAGTACCAGTGACAGCTAGAAGACTTCATGAAAATGTTAAGCTAAGTATGTTGTAAAAGTTTTATCTTAAAATTGGTAATCAGTTCTGGATTGAGCAGTTATGGGCTAACATTCAAAACACAGTTAGATCGTATAAAAAATTTACAGATTAGACTACTTAAGTATTTAGTAAGTAAAAAAGTAAAATTACAGTATAAAAAAAATTATGACAAATTATTTAATATATGTAAAATACTAATTGCTTTAGAACAATATAAAATAAATAAATTTAAACAACCTATAACGCATAAATATCGTACCAGGCAAGTTTAGAAGGGTAAATATGTGATACCACATATAAGAAACAATTATGGTAAGAGAACTAGGCAATATTTAACTCCGCTAATATTTAATAGAATAGATTTTATAAGAGATACGTCCAAAGACATAAGCACTGTAACATTAAAGATAAGACTGAAAAATACATTCCTATGAAAAGTATAATGTAATATAATAAGTATTAATAAGTATTAATTAAAGATAGAGATATTTATTGTAATAAATATACCTAAAATAAGTATGTATATAACAAAAAATACATATTAATGTATAACAAAAGAGCGCCATTATCGCCAACAAACTATTGCAAAGTTTGGCGATGTTTATTATTATTTTAAATCTGTGTATTTTATGTTAATAAAGATTTTAAAAAAAAGACCAAGAGTCTTTTTATATTGTGGAACTTAGAGCCCGATTAATTTGCTAGTTAATTAACCCGGTTAATTTAACAGCCAGGCCATGAGGCCAAGGCTGACGTTTAGCTAACACCCCAATAGTTTTAGTAGAATGACAATGTCGCAATTAACGTTTTGGCTAATCGAAATTCAATTTAGTGTTCCATAAAATCTTTGGGTGTTGTAAGAAGCGTCAGAGGGAAACTTATTCGGAGATGGACAGCAGCGATTTATTTATAGAAGAGGAGACAAATGAGCATGCATCTCACCTGATGGTAAGAGGCAACCGCTGCCCATGAATAATCGCCACACCATGGGTATTGCAGGTGCGTTGCCGGCCTTTTATAAAGGAGTACGCGCTTTTTTTAATGTCCCTAAGTTATATCGATCCGGAAAATTGGCCTGTGGTAAAAATTCCAAGAAGTTGTACAAGTAAGAAAACTCCTTGTAAAATACACAGTGGTGGACCGCCAAGCATCCAGATGGTGAAGATGGTATCGGAAATTTTGACGCAATTTGTATTCGTAAAATATGGCAACTCTAATTAATCCGAACAATTCCTTAGAGCATTTCCAGTGTTAGATATGATATAAAATGCAAAGGGATGCAACATCCCTGCGCAGCGCCAGTGAATCAATCCGATCAGAAAGAACTTGGTTGTAGAAGATTGAACCTCAAATATGGGCAGTACATTGAGTCCATAGCCAAAGCAGCTGCAAGGTAACTTGGTGTTCTTGCACGGGTGCGGCGGTACTTCATGCCGGGACAGCTTTTTACCTTATATAAAGCGCAATTCCCGTCATGCATGGAGTACTGCTGTCAAATATAGGCTGGTGCTGCAAAATGCCACCTGGTAGCGTTGGACTCAGTGCAGTGATGTGCATGATGGAATATGTAGAACAGACTTGTCTTAATTGTCACGCTTGGAATGCGGTTTGTGGGTCATAGTACCGTCACCGGTTTGGGTTACACCCGGTTTTTACTTCTGGTGTAAACAAGAAATAATAGCATAGCACCAAGAAGTTCATTGGTGACCTTAATTTGGTTGAATCAAACCTTGTAAGCCTAGAAGACAGGCGCAGAATAGTCTCTCGAAATTCTATAGGATGCCTTTCGGAGAGTGTACGCAGGAATTGCACGCTTTAATTCCTCCCTCTCCTTTCCATCACTGAACAACCAGACGGTCGGTAGGTCTTCACCCCTTTATTGTCGATATTCCACGCATTAGAACCAAACGGTTCACTTCGACTTTTTTAATGCGTACAGTAAAGGAGTGGATTAAATTGCCGGCGTCTATCTTTCCATCCGAATATAATCTGGGCGTCTTCAAGGCAAAATTTAGTATACTGACTTATAAAAAGTAAAAAAAATGAACCACTGCACTGTATGCAGTCAAGTGGAAGGAGCTGGCAATGGGGTGCCTCAGACCAGAGATGAGAACAGTATTCCATGTGAGGCTGAACCTGTGCTTTGTAAAGTTGCAAGCAATGTGCCGGCATGAAATAGTGTCTCGCTCTGCTGAGCATGCCAAGCTTTTTAGAGGTCGTTTTGGTTCAAGTGATCACGAAATTGTGCACTATGTGATATGTCGACGCTGATGATTGCGATGCTAGCTGAGGCAGCAAAGGAAGTGTCTTGAAAGTGAGAAGATACGACAAAGGGATTCTTCTTAGCAATAAACGCACGAACTTTCGCTTTCTGCGGATTGAACTGGACTAGATATAGTCGCCCCTGATCAAAGACATTGTGCAGCAAAGACTTGAATTCGGACCCAAACTTGTCCCGCTACTCGGCGACATTTTTGAGAAAAATATTGACACGACCGGTGTATAAGGCATCACCGGTGCTATCGCATGCATAGTAATGAATATAACCAGTTTGCAACATATCATTAATATGTAGAAGAACTAGCGTTGGAGATAGCACGCAGCCTTGTGGAATACCATCAATAATAAGCTTATATTCTTAGCATGCACCGACTACTATGACCTTGATGCTCCGATCAGCAAGGAAATTGGTGATCTAATTGTACAATTTCGCGGGAAGCCCATAGGAAGAGAGCTTCGTAAGAAACGCTTTGTGCCAGACCCGATCGAAGGTTTTAGCTATGTCTAAACTAACGGCGAATGACTTCCCTTGAACTCTACTATCTCTGCCAATCCATGAGTCAGGTAGACCAGAAGATCACCAGCTGATCGATCACGACGAAAACCGTATTGGCGATCATTAATCAGCTGATGATCCTCAAGATACCTCATGCATTGCAAGTTGTTTCATGGAGTTGGACGGATCTGAACAGTCGCCTTTTTTAAGGATCGGATAGACCCGACTTCCTAATAACAATAAAAACAAAACTGCAAAAGCTGGTTCCAACCAGCTTGTCAAGCGTGGCAACTATGGTCAATTTCCCATATATGGGGCAATCTATGAGGGAGGCATATTATGTTCAGCAGTCTTATAGGTTGTTATGGTAGTGATAAGTATCAATTTACAAGGTGGCGTTAACAGCTGATATAATATTTCTGATTTTAATAGTAATTTCACCAATAAAATCCAATAAACCAGGTAATTACTTTATCCCCTTAAACTAATTTTTTTCATAACATGCTGTATAGATTTGATATTGTTTAAGAGTATACAAAACACGGAAAAAGTTAATTTTCTTTCCAGAGAATTATACACTTACAGCTGGACGCACATGTGTTATATTTATTTATGGTATCCACCGTCACCCAATGTGGGGTGATGATGCTGAAGAGTTCAAACCAGAAAGATGGCTAGATAAAACGACTTTACCTTCATGTCCTACTGCATTTGCTGCTTTTAGCATAGGAAGGAGGGTTTGTATCGGTATGTAAAATATTCTGTAACTTCCTGTTAGTAAATATTACAAATAAATAAGAAAATGAAAATAAGAACTACATTACGGACGGAAGCTATGACCGGTCATGCTAGTCTACAACAATAAAAATAATTGTCATCCAGACCGAATTTTGGTCACGACAGCTAAGCCAAACGGAGACTAGACCGAATTATAGCGCATGAATGTGTGCGCAAGAATAGGTGCACTTTTTATTACCTTACTCTCATAGTCTAACGAGACGGTGATCCGAATCAAACGGAGAGAGATTAGGTTAAGGGCCAACGGCTTTACATATTTTCCAAGGCATGGTGATAATATACTAACTTCCTAACTCTTGAGTCCTGACTGCTACTGAGAATTTCTTTAGATAAAAACCAAATAACTGATTTTGGCTCAACCCGGGATTAAAACCCAGGATTACCAGATTAGCGGTCACGCTTGCTACTACTATGCCAGCAAGAAAGTCAAATATACGTATGTACATTATTTTTGATTCACATGGCTAAGGAAATGGTTTCTCTACACACTAGCAATTTAAAATTTTTATTATTTTCTCGGTTTAGGAAGTGTGTTACAAATATGTTTTTTAAGTTTTCAATCATCGTCATTATCATCGACATTAACATCATACATACACTACTATATATTATTTAATTCTTATAATAGAATAGTTATTGTGCACACAATAATTTGAAGCTAGTTGATATTTATTGTAAGTTTAAGTATAAAAGCTGAAAATGCTTCTTGGCTAACAGCATTATCGTCACCAACATACGATATGGTGCATTGGCTCATAGACACCTACATAAATTTATTCTTGATTAAAAATCATTGTATTCACCTCTGAGGACTAATATGGTTAGTCTCGTTAGCATTAAAATAGTTCTCGTCGATACAAAATACGGCAGCATTTATTTTATTTTGCCTTTTTTCGCAAAATAACTTCTAAGGTTAAGTTAAGAAGTAGTCCTTCTCTGGTTGACCCGATCGAATCGAAAGTACTTCAGACATAATACAGTTGAAACGGGGCACTGCTTCATATAATTATAAGTGTAGAAAATTTTGCGAATGATAATTTTATTGTGACTCCACAGGAAAACAATTCGCTTTTATGGCGATGAAGACTACACTAGCCCACGTACTACGGCATTATCGCGTAAAAGGTGATCAAACTAAGATGGTATTAAAGGCTGATGTGGTGCTGAAACCCAAATATGGTCACTACATTTCTATAGAGAAGAGATCGTGATGAAAAAAGAATTTAAAGAAGCAGCATCCGTTTTATCAAAAAAACTACTAATAAAATCAATGTGAAGAGGATCTGATGAAAAAAATTTCGAAGGAACATAGTGTTTAAGGCAGTCGTTTTATCAAAAAAATCACTATAAAAATGAATGTAAAATAAACTAAAACTTTTTAAAGTATACAATAAAAAATATATAATTTTTATTATATAAAAAAGAATCATGTTGTGGCGGTGCAAAAATTTCCATTGCCCGTAGTACGAAATGTACTGTGAATGTATTAGAAACGAAAAAGACATATGCTGAATTTTCCGGTCGGTGTATATACATAACATTACCTTTTACTTATAAATACTTAAACAGAATGAACAAATTTACTTTTTTCATGTGACTATTTGTATTTTTAATTAAAATAAAAACTTTGTTTTGTCGGCTAGACATTGGTACAGAAAGAGTTTTATTCCATTTTAACAAGGTTTGGGTAATGTCAGCCAGACCTTAATATTTTTGATTAAGTTATTTATATTACCACAAGTGATAGTTATTTAAATTATAAATAAAACTTTAACTGACCTAGTTTTTGAAGAAGGCAAATGTCTATACCTAGTTTTAGGCTTGAATAAATCGAGCTCAATTAAGCTTCAGTTTAATAAAAAGAAGACCCTTCATCAAGACAAATCAAAATAAATTATTCGTTCCATTACATACGTTAAATTATTGTTTCTTTGTTTGTCCCGTATCCTATACCATTCAACCAATCATGAGCATTGCAACACTGAGCTCATAGCAGAGCACAGCTTTTTTTTACTCAAAAAATCAGATAGCGCAAGGAATAAAATATACAACTGTCCTGTTACTGAAGCATCGATCACTTTGGATTTAACGTTTTCCGATTATTACAACCTAATAAAGCGTGATCGTTATGAGGTTGCCGATTGCCATCCTTTCGTTGCTCCAATGGCCGAGTCTGAGGCATCTGTGACTAGTGCTAGACGTGCTTGCAGGTCTGGGTGTGCTAGTAAAGCTGCTTGGCAGAGGCTTTGTTTTTTCAACTTGTTAAAAGCCTTAAGGCTGTCATCAGAAATGGCAATTGGGTACAATCCTCTGACTGTTCCGGCCAGGAATGCATGTAAGGGTGACTGGATTTCAGCAGCACCTGGGATGAGCTGCCGGTAGAAATTAATCATTTCTAGGAAACGTCTAAGCTCTTTCACGTTTTTTGGTATGGGAAAGTTCTGGATAGCTTCGACCTTTGAGTCCAGTGGCTTCATACCATTCTTTGAGACAGTGTAGCCCAGGAAGGTTATTTGTGTTGCCGCAAATACGCATTTGTTTGTGGAAATAACCATACCGTATGTATTGAGTCTACTTAATATTTGGCGCAGGTGATTCTTATGCGTTTTTACGACGGGTGAGAACACTAAGAAGTCGTCCAGGTAAGCAAAGCAAAATTACAGGTCTCACGTCATTTCATCGACAAAACTTCGGAACGTCTGGCTAGGGTTTCGAAGACCGTACGTCATAAAGGGGAACACAAATAGTTCAAAGGGTGTTGATGTTGCCTTTTTACATGTATCTTCTTAAGCAATCCTTATTTGCTTGTAAGCTTTTACCAGATCTATGGTGTAGAAAGTACACGTTTTTGAATAAAATTATCGCAAAAAGCTATTTACTTATATGTTATATTAATAACTTCTGTTAAACAATAATTTTAATGATATCCTATTTCTGTAACTAATAATACTTTAAAAACACAAAAATAAATTCTTCAATCCTATTGGCTTACTGGAAAGACAAAGCTTTGTAGTTGATCGCTTGATAAAATATTGAGCGCTTGAGAAAGAGTCTTAGCACGTATTTTAACCACATGGATAATATTATCAATCCTGCTGCATTATCAAGGATGATTTTCAACTATTCTGTCCATTAACCAACGAATTGGCGGTAATTTGTCTTCTTTTATCAAGACTAAATCAACAATGTTATATTCTGGTGCCCGAGAGTCTCATTTGTATCCATTCATAAGGTTAATAGATAAGTCCTAGAACCAGCGCCGACAACAGCGCTGAAACATTTGTTATTTGAATTTTCACTTTTATAAATAACTTATATTTGATGCCAAATAATCGTTGAACTCGAATACAGCTATTAGAGGTACCCCAATTAGGAACTATCCTGGCATTAAAGGACGTGTATTACTGAGATCTGAGCTGTCTACTGTAATGTGCAGATAAAAATTAAATCCCAAACCAAGTATACATCTGCAAGACTTCAAGATATTTTAAGTTCATACTGCGTAGATAAGAACAAAAATTAATAATTTTAATCTGAAGGTCACCATTGTTAACATTGGGACGTCGAACACCTCAGTAATTGTTCGTCAAGGGGGAAACACTTGACCAACAATTACTTGCTTAGGAAAAGATAAGCCTCTAACGGCAAAATATGTTGTATACTTAAATTGCGGATAGATAATAATTATAAAATCCAGATCAAAGCGTATGTTCTCAAGAACATAACATCTTATCTATATAAATATATTATATTATATTACAAAACATTTTATCTATTTAGTGGATAGGCTTACAAAACTTATGTCTAGTAGATTTTAAGTTTAATATGTCTAACAAAATTTATATGCGTAGCTATAGGAGCGAATGTGTTCAGCCATATTCTGATGGATGGTGTGAAAAGGAGTCCTAAAGAACTTTAATAGCTCCAAACACCAACATTATAACAGTTTTGTGAATAAGAAGAACCAAGAAGTACAAAACATATGTGGTCAGTAGAAGAGCAAAAGTGTTTAAGTTTGCAATGGAATAAAAGTTTAATTTGCTTAGTTTTAATTTTTAATACCCGACGTTTCGGATGCTTTACAGCAGGTGATAAACGTCCCGATATCAGAGTTAACTCGTATTACCTTCAGCTTTTTAATTATTACATTTGGTGCTACTAGGCAGAATGAACTTCCTGTATCTTGATGTCTTGCATTGGTATGACCGGGCTTAGTTTTAATTTTATTAACTACATGATTCCAAGCACGTGGTAGTACCCAGAATACGCGAAGCATTAGTGTTTTACTTCAGTTATATGTTCACAACTGTTTAGTGCTTACATATTACTTTTGCTTTTTACTTACCCCACCATGCAGTTGTTAGAAGAACAAAACAACTATGAAAGTTTTAGTTGTTTTTAACGCATCAATTAAAAATAATAATGTTGTTTAGGTTTAACGAAACTTGGGTGATAGTACCCAAAATACAGCAGATTTGCCTCATTTAGTACTTTGATGGAGAGTTAATTAATAGCTTTTTGCGGACGATTTTATACGAATAATAAGTGTACTGAGCAAAAATCTTATCTATATAAATGAAATAGACCATGCACTAATGTGTTGCATTAAGAAAGTAGAGAAGGAAAATTTTTAATGTAGAATTATTTACAACATAAGAAGAATCAAAATCTAGTAAATCGTTGTGTCCGTATCCCGATATCAATGACATAGTGAGAGTTAGCGCAAGACTATAAAATTCTCTACAGCCAGAAAAAAAACTGTGCATTCGATAATACCTCCATATTCTGCATATTTCACGAAATTAATTATATTGGAAGCACACGAGAATACGATAAATGGAGGAGTGAGAGACTAGCAATTGCAAATAAAATTAGCCGCTTAGAAGATCTCAAGACCAAGCGCATAAGATATTTAACAGCCTTAATTTTCTAGAAGAGATGCCGAGACCATAATTTCATTCCTAAGTGCAAGGCAAGTAAAAAGTTGTTACAAACGGTAATCCAACAAAAATGCTCCGACCTACATAACATAAACATCCATAGACACATCATCAAATGAATTAAAGGCAGTTTTAACGACAATTTGTTATAATGTTCTAATCTAATAACCCTTTTATACCTGACGCGGATTCTACATACATAGGTCATTCAATAGGTTTTGAAATGCTCGAAATTTAAAAATGGAACGCACCCGTGTTATATATTTCAAAAAAGCAAATTTATTTAAAAATAGAACTCAATATGCCAATTTCTCAATATTAAAATAAAAACTTCTATTAATTATCCTGTAACGCTTCCCGCGCTTTTCATTTAAAACGACAGATCTTAACCGTGAACATTTGCAGTCATAAAATTAGTAGGGAGCCACACAAATCGTGTATGAATACATTATTTATACATCGGCCAACAGAATAACTATGTATTAGATATACCGCTTTAGTACGTCACTTTATATAACATAAATAACATCGTTGGTTCAAGTAGAAATAATAATAACGTAAAATATATATGATATGATACACAACTCCAAAGTTTTTAAGAGTGGTGGTATAGAAACATATGATCATTCATTCAACCTATCAAAATTCTTCTGCTACACATTGGCTTCAGCCATAGACAGGATTTTTGACAAACGCATTTTTTATTATTTTAAGTTGTTATAATTTTCACAAGTTGCTTTTTACGATACCCATGGGATGATATGGGCTACGAGATTCTGTTACAGCACCGCCACTACGCGACTTAGAAACATCATCACTAAGAAAAAGCTTTTACGTTAGTGATACAGAGTTATTGGAAACAAACATGATATTTCGGTATAACATACGTTATGAGAAATTCTGACGTAGATTTTATAGTACACGCGCAACCCGACTTCAATTCCTGCCGCCATAGTTATTTTTTTAAATTTATTATAAAAAAATATAATAATATTATAGGTGGTGAACAGTGATGAAGCTCTAAGTAAATCACACTATCTTAGTGTAACGAAAGCCGATTCAGTATTGCCGTATTGCTGATTTACCATCGAAGAACAATCAGCGACATGTAAAACCTACCAACACGTATTTGGATAGTGTTGCGGAACAATTGTTCAAAAAACCACTCAAGAGTGCGAGAGGGACGCTTCAGCCTCTGGGGCTTATTAAGGATTCAAAATAACTTTTATATTTGTGTCAACGCATTACATAAATTTAATTTGGCTTATAAT